ATCCAGGAATGAAGGTAATGTTTCCAAAAACATTAGGTAAAATAAGTAAACGAGGAGGAAATCAGACAAGGTTATTAATGTTAACAAATAAAACACCAGGAAAATTCATGGACTCAAGAGGGTATGCAGCTATTCCAATGATGTATATAAGAAATACCATTATGAGGTTAATGTCTACTGATGTCAAACAAGCTGTTGCTGTTGCATTAAAGTTTGGACTTGAGAAAGAAATTTGGGATGAAATGGTAAAAATTGGAATAAGCCTTGAGAAAGTAGAATTATTTAAAAGTGTATCAACAGCAAACAAAACTAAATTCACAAAAGAACTAAAACAAGCAACAACTCCTGTGATTAAAGAAACAAAAGGAAGTTCAAAGAAAACAAAAAAAGAGTCTGAGGATAATTTAGAAGAGATGAGTGAAAGTATTGAAGAAGACAATGAACAAATATTTGATGAAGATATGTTCTGATTTCGAAAAATTTAAATTTCTATTTTATTTGTGAGTTTTTTTTTTTATTTTATGAAAAGATTGAATCAATTCATTGTATAATCTCCAGAGATAATGAAACTCGAAATAGATTCAAGAAACTAATGACCCAATCACCAGACACAAATGAAAAACCAATGACCATCACAGAATTTAATGACCAAACTGAAGAACTATTGAAATGTACAACATCAGCTTTAATGAATAATGAAGAATCTATTAAAAAACTGTTAGATGCTCTAAATAAAAGTATAGAAGAAGAACAAAATAAGATTAAGGTATTAGACCAAAACATTGAACAATTTGAAAAAATGATGAACAATTTAACAAGTAGATTCCAACACTTGTTTAACAAGAATTTATAATTTAACTTTTATTTATAATAAGAATATTGATAGAATAAAATATTAATCAGAACCTCCACGTAAATTACTTGCTCCAACTAATAATTTTCTAAAAGTAACTTGAGAAAATGATTTATTTGCACTTATAATATAAAATGGTAATCCATTTGAAATATGTGGATTTTTAAAAAATGAACTTTCTTTGCCATATTTAAATCCACAGACTCCAGTTGATAAAACTGTTATTGGTAATCCAACTTCAATTAAATTACCAAATATACAATTTTGTAATTCAACAAATATTAAATGATATTTTGCTTTATCATTTATTGAATATGAATTAGCAGCTTTATTGATAATAAATTGATTCCACAATTCACATTGTTCTTTAACATTAATCTCTTTTTTCTTTAAAGAAGTATCAAACTCATTTTTTATTTCTTTTCCAATAGCATCAAAATGAAGAACAACATAAACAATATCTTCTAAATATTCTTCTCTTGTTTCAAGTACTTGACAAAGTGAAGATGCAAGTGCAAAAACCATACCTGTTCTATCACAACCACTTTTACAATTAATACAAATAACAATATTTGATAATAATAAATAAAGACAAAGAATTAATAATTCTTGAACTCTACTTTGGATTATTAATTTTTCATGTCCATCAAGAATTGAACGTAATAAAATTGCACGTTGTTTTTCTTTTCCTGATAAAATTTTAATAAGTTCTAATATTGTAATATCTTCTTTACAATGAATGTCTTTCTTAAACCAATCAATTAATTGATATAAACTAATTTGATTAATATCTTTTGAAGTTGTTTCTCCAATAGAAATACCAAATAATTCATTTAAACTAAATTGATAATTTAAATGAGTTATTTCAATTTTCATTTTATTCCATACTTTTTCTTGTAATAAACGATGTTGTCTTTCTGCAATATTTTTTTCAGTTATTGCAAATTTACAAGTACTAACTAATGAAATCGAACATACTTTAATTGTAGAAGATAATTGTAATGGATTAATTCTTTGATTAAAAGAAAGTTTTAATGAATTTGGTTTTATTGTATTTACTAACACTTGAATAAATTGACGAAGTCGAATATATGAATCAATAGCTCCACTTCTAATAATAAAATTACCGTTACATTTCATTGAATAAACGTTCATTAAATATTTTTGATATTCAGTTTTTGATAATACATGACATGTACCAACTGTTCCCATACCTTTATGGGCAATCCAAACTCCTTCTTCTTCTTTAAATAAATTAAATCGTTTTCTATAACTAAAATTCCATTCAACTAATGATATAATACTTTCTTTCCCATTTGCTTTCCAACTATGTTTAATAGATCGTGGAATAATAGAAATATCTTCATGTTCAATATAAAGTCCTGATGATATATTTGAAATATATTCTTTTACTCTTTCTCTGTCCGTTTCCCATGAAAGATAATTATCATCAGTAAACTTACTAATATCAACCATTTTAGGTACTGTTATATTCCATCCATTATGTATAGGTGATGGTTTTATTAATGGTTGTTTAATAAGTGCAATAGCTTCATCAACTTTTAATAATAAACTTTTGGCACATGGATTTATTATTTTTTGTGGTCGATGACCAAAGCTTGGTTTATTCATTCTAATAAAATATGAACCACACAAACTAATTAATATTAATAACAGTAATAAAGAGAAATAAGTTACTTCAGGTCTAATAGAAATATATCCTTCAATACTTTCCATGAATAGACGATAACTCATGATGATTATATCTTTAAACATTGTGTTATTTAATTTGTGTTATTGAAAACTATAATTTTTATTTTTATATTCAAATTTTCAAGTTTCACCTCTATAAACAAGTTGTCATCATCAACATCTGATCTCTTTAATTATTAATTTTGTTATTAACTTGTTAATAAACTATTTATAGTTGTTTCTAAATTTTTTTATACGAATCTATTTATATATATTTTTATCTGAAGAGAATTAGGTAGAAATCCCGAAATAAAGGATAGAAAATATAATGAATAAAGAAAAAAAAAGAGATAAAAAAAAAAAAAGATAAAAAATGAAAAAAAGTGAAACAATTGAATTTTCTATTGAAAGAATCGAAGATTCAGATTCTAGAAGAGAAACAAAGAACAATGAACTCAAAAGAGATAAAGATTTAACAAGACATTAATGTCAACAACAACCCACCATCATAGAAAGAGATTTATCAAATCTGATTTTCGTATGAATTACCTTTGTTCACAAGACAGTTTCTTTACACCATTTAGTAAAGAAAATCGTTCGATGTCACCAGGGATTGATTTTGTTTGTTTTAAGAAAGAATAATTAAATTTTAAGTTAATTAAATAAAACGAAACTTATTTAAAATAGGAATCTTCAGTACGACAAGCGACTATTAGTTATATTGATGTATTAAAAAGGTGTAATCCAAAATTCGATTTTTCTTCTATTATTACAAAGAGAGCATTAACATCACCATCAACACCAGCACATAACGATTATCATGATAATTGTAAATATGATTATATTCTTTATACAGACGAAGTTATTGGAACTGGAGTTCCAGGAGTAGTTTCATATGGAAAAAAACAAGGAACAAGATATAGAGTTCTTTGCTTATTAGGGCAAGGAGCATTTGGACAAGTTGTAAAATGTTTCGATGAAGTAAATAAAACATTTGTAGCAATTAAAGTATTGAAAAATAGACCAGCTTATTATAGACAAGCTATGTTAGAAATAGCAGTGTTACAAGTATTAAATGAAAAATTTGATGTTGATGGAACAGGACATACACTTCGTCTTTTAGATCATTTTGTATTTCATAATCATGTTTGTATTGTAACAGAATTATTATCAATTAACTTATATGAATTAATGAAACAAAATGGTTGTCGTGCATTATTTGTTCAATTAGCACGATCAATTCTCAAACAATTATTAGAATCACTTGTTATATTATTTAGAAATGGAATTATTCATTGTGATCTTAAGCCAGAAAATGTATTATTAGTTGATATAACAAAGAAAATTAAATTAATTGATTTTGGTTCAGCGTGTTTTGAAAATAGTACATTATATTCTTATATTCAATCAAGACATTATAGGTCACCAGAAGTTATATTAGGGTTACCTTATTCTAGTGCAATTGATATGTGGTCATTTGGATGTATGGCAGCAGAATTATTTGTTGGGATACCAATATTTCCAGGAAATAGTGAATATAATATGTTATATAAATTTATTAATATGTTAGGAATGCCACCAAGAAGTTTATTAGATAAAGGAAGTAAAACTACTAAATTTTTTAGAAGAAAAAGACCAGCAGAAATGAAAAATAAAGACGATGTTTGGGCATTTAAAAGTAAAAGAGAATTTGAAGAAGATAATAATATTTATACTGAGCCAAATAGAGAATATTTTTCATATAAAACATTAGAAGATATTGCTATGAAAGTCACTTTTAGAGTTAATGCTCCTGAAGAACCTCATAAAATGGAAATGAGAATTGCATTTTTAGATTTCCTTAAACGATCACTTCAATGGGATCCTGAAGTTAGAATGAGACCTGATCAAGCTTTACAACATCCTTTTATTACTAAAAATCCATTACCAAGTAATTACACTCTTCCACCTACTACAGAACCATTAAGATCATTCCCACCAGGAACTCAACTTACTACAGAAGAAGTATTACAAAAAATTGCACCAAATCCAGCTGCAGCACAAAAGTTAAGAACTATGGGATATAATGCTACAACTTATTATCAAGTTTATGCTGATGGATTAAGTAAAGGAATTGTATTAAATATTCTTAATTCTAATCCATTCTTTTTACAACCAATGACACCACCTGCATTAATTCGTATAAACCAACAAGAAGAAGAAAAGAAAAGAAGATTATTAGAAGAAAATAAAGGAAATATTTTGTATCAAGGAATTGGTTCATCTACAATTCAACAAGAAGTTATGAAGAATAGATCTTTGTTTAAAGAACATTCTAAAAAAGAAGAACATAAGAAACAAAGAAGACAAACTAGTGACGTCTTCTCAAATAAAGGAATGGAAACTTTATCTCCTCGTACTGAAGACTTTTTAGTGGCTCAAAGTATGAAAATTGATCAACAACAAGCTACTTCATATGCTGGTACTAATATTACATTACCAGGTTCAACATCTGATGGATCAATGGCAGGTTCTTGGAGTACACAAACAGGCATGTTGCTTCCAGGAGGAACTACAATGGGAACTACCGGAAGTATGAATCCATATGATTAAAAAACATGTTTTTTAATAAATAAATTTTGTTTTTTAAAAACAAAATAAATATATATAACAAATTATTAGAAAATACAAAAAAAGGTGAAAAAATAATATTTAGTTCATTAAAATATCTAAAAAATCAAAATAATAATCAATGGATAAAAGTAATTTCAATGAAGAAATCAAAGACATCAAAGAAAAAAACAATAAAGAAATAAATGAAATGATTGAAGAAAGTTTTAAAAAAGGAAATATAGAAAAATGTAAAGAAATAAAAAGAGAAATAAAAGAAAAAGAAATTAAAAAAGAAGAAATAGAAAAAATAATAGAAAGAAATACAATAAATGAAGAGAATAAAGAGATTTATGAAGAATTAATAAATATACCAAAACTACAAAGTTGTGTAATAAAAAATATAATTAAAGAAATTGAAATGAATTATGAATTATATGATCAATTTAATATTAAATTAACAGAAGAAAGTATTAAAGAGATATGTGGTGATATTATAAAAGAAAAAGGAAATGAAAAAAGAATAATTTTATTATTAAAATTATTATCAAAATGGGAATTTGAAAGTCTTAATGAAGAAGCAAAGAATTGTATAAAAAATTGTGTTATACAAAGTAATAATAAATTAATAATTCAAATTGGATGTTCAATATTAAGAAAAGACCAAAATAATATTAGTTATTTTATTGATTTAATGAATATTGGAAATGATTTTGTTGCAGAAACAGCAGCAGATAATTTATTTGCTGAATGTTTAGATGAAAATATTCTTAATACATTAAGAAAATCAATGTTAAATAATATGCCCCCAGTATGTGAACGTGTACAAGATATTATTATTTCTGTTTTACAAGCAAATAATCCAAAAATGAAAGATATAGAAAAAATAAAAATTGCATTAGAATTATCAAGATATAACCATCTTCATGATTTAAGAAAATATATTATTCATATCGTTTTAGAAGAAAAAACTCCTTTAAATGAAATTATTCAAAGTTGTTTTGAAGTATTATCAAAAAAATTAAATTATCAAATTGATTTAGTTGAAAGTATTCGTTTTATATTAGAAAGATTAATTCCTTTTAATCAACAATTAAATCCAAGAAGAATGCAATTAAAATATAATAATTCTTTTATTATTGTTTATTGTCGTCAAACAGCAGAAGAATTAATAAAACAATTAAATAAACATGGAGTCATAATTGCATTTGGAGATGTTATACCAAAAAATACAGCATTAGAAGATGTAGGATTAAAAGAAGGAGATGAAATAATTATAGATGAAAATGTAGAGTATGAAACTACAATAACAAATACAATAAAATTTATTGATATAACTAAAATAGAAAATGATGTAACACAATTAATTAATGGAAATATTAATGGTAAATTACAGATATTAGAAGTTCTTCCATTTATAAAACAAAAATTTGAACCAAATTATATTCCATATAAATATTATAATTATTATAAACAACAAAATGACATTGAATTATTACATGAAGAACTTCTTTTGTTTGATATTAATGATAATAATAATAAAGATACATTAGAAGTGTATTGTAAATTACTTACATTATTATCAAATGATTGTAGTAAAACTATTATTGAAACAAAATGTGAAGAAATTAATAATGAAAATGGAATAAAATTTATTCAACAACTATTTATTACACCAGAATTACATCATATTATTCCAAATGAATTATGGAAGTGGGTTAATAAAATTGTTAATAAATTACAAGGAGACGAAAAACACTCATTTTGTTTTAATGCAATTCAATTATATAAAGATAATCAAGAATTTATAAATGAAGTAATAAAAATGAAAGATATTGTTTTAGTATCAATGCTTCTAAATCAAAACCCAACACCATATATTATTGAACAATGTAAAAATATTTTTGATTTATTTAAAGATAATTTACAAAGACAAAAAGAATTAAAACAATTTAATGAATTAGATTATTATTATTCAATTATTCAATATTATTCTCCTAATCCAGATGAAGTTATTGAATATATTAGTCAAACAATTTCAACTAGAAGAAGATGGATATTATTAACATCATTAAAAACAGTTCATAATATAAATGAAATAGTTAGAATTAATAATACAATTTCATATGAAGGAATAAATGAATTTGATTTTTCAGGATTTTATAACCCATCAAAATTATGTTATATGACAAGTGTTTTAGTACAATTATTATCTATTGAAGAATTTCAAACATTATTAAGACAAACGTCATGTAAAAGTAGAGTAATTTTATTATTAATTTCAGCATTAAAATATTTTACAAAGAATGGAGAAGACTTTAAAATAGAAAACCTTCTGTTAGAATTACAAAAATATACAAAAATGGAATTAAATGAATTTAATGATGTAAGTGAATTTATGATGTTATTATGGGATGTTTTAGAAAAAGAATTACCTGAAGAAGAATTTAAACAATTGGAAAAACATTTTATATTTAAAACTAAAAACAAAACAT